GTTTGACTCGGTTTGCGGTTCGGTTTTGTACACCCCTATATATTATTATAAGTGGGAAGCTCCAACAATTAAAGTTGGATTACCATTATACCCTCAAGCTAAAACTATTTCTATAAATATTTTATTTATTAAAAAATAAACTTATATTATAATAAATATTTAGAATGAATTATTTAGTTGAGAAACTAAATTTATTGTAGTCTTTTCAATTTTCCGGAGTTACTTTTCCGTGTAATACTTATTGTGAATATATACAATATATTATGCTAGAGTAAAAGAACTTCAAAACAATCATTTAAATATCTTAATTATAATATTAAATGTGCTTTTAAGTGTTTTCATTTCAATTTTTAATGATGACTGAAACGTCGTATATCTCAATGCGACTAGAGGAATAAAATGGTGTTAAACTCTATTTTGCTGTGCATTAAATTTTTCCTTTCTCTTTTGTTATTAATTTTCTATTATTTATTTGATATTCAAAAAATCATGAATGTCGCTTTATATATCTTTGTTATTAATTTTCTATTATTTATTTAATATTTTAAAAGAACCCTGAATGTCTCTTTATATTTTTCTACTATATTTTCTTTATTTCTTTATTAATTTGGTTTCAAGAAGCTCAAAAGTCATGTTTTTTAACAATTAAGGTGGTATTTATTTGTTTTTAGTTTTATGTGCAGCCTCTATTAATTACAATATGACCACACTACACGTTTTTACAATTGAAGGGTATTGTGAGTGTCAAGTTAATTAGACTTTATATATTTTTCTTTTCTTTTGGATTTTTTCTGAATCGAATTATATATTGAATTATAATTTTGATTTGGGTATTAGCTAAAATATGGGTGTAATATTTTTGTGGTGATTTCTTTTTTCTTATGGATATTTTTTATTTTTTATTTTTTATATCTGATAATTTTCTTGAGCGTTTTTAGTGATAATATATATTAAGTAAAGAGTATCATATGCAGCCATCAACCTGATTTTTTATTTATTATATCTGATAATTTTCTTGAGAGTTTTTAGTGATAATATATATTGAGTAAAGAGTATCATATGCAGTCATCTACTTGGTGAAAAACAATAACAAAATATACAGGTAGAAATTTTAAGTATTTTTTGTGATTTATTTATCAGAATTTTAGTTGCTTAATTGATTTTCGTTTGTTAAATTATTGAACTTGATAAAAATATACAATGTGTTTGTAGGATCATCATCCCTATTATATGTAAGTGAATTGTATTTCCAAGAATGAAAAGTTATCACACTAGATAATTTTCATAAGATACATCTGATGTTGTATCATGTATGATGAGAAGCAAAACTATAGAATTATATGGGGTATTGATTCATATAATCTTGAAGAATATATTAATTAGTTATAGTTTATTGTGATTATTAGGATCAGTCATAAAAAATCATTTTAAATTTTATATTATAATGAGAAAACAAAGTGTTGAAATCAATCAAGAGTCTTTTTCTGCCTCTATTCTTAAAATAGCCTTCAATAACGTTTACTTTATTAGGGTTGCTTATTGATATGTTCAATCCAATTTTATATATTAGTTGCTCGATTTATGAGCTATCAATTTGTAAACATGATAAATCGATAATGAATTATCATCGTCTTCACTAGTGTGAAGCAATGTGAATTAAAAGGCTTTATTCATATACTCCCTCCGTTTCACAAAGAATGACCTGGTTTGACTTGGCACGGAATTTAAGTAAATAAAGAAGACTTTTGAATCTTGTGGTCCTAAATTAAAGTTATGTCAAATGTACAAAATTGTCCTTAATCTTGTGGTCTTAAACATGCCACGTGGAAAGCAAAAAGTAAAATGTTACCAAAAAAGAAAAGAGATCATTCTTTTTGAAACTGACTAAAAAGGAAAAGAGGTCATTCTTTGTGAAACGGAGGGAGTATATAATATAATATGTGCTTTGTATTTTGACCATTTCGGAGATCTTACATTATATCAAGATAAGTGTATGACTCTTGTGTTGTCATACAATTAACACTTTGTTGTCAACCCATTTGGATTATAAAATTTAGAGCTAGCGTGTAATTTTAGTGAATGGATATACATATTATTTTTGTTACAATGATAAAATTTCAGTATTATTATTTTACGTTTTTGGTATTTGTTCGTATGTTCATGTTGGTATTTGTTCGTATGTTCATGTATTTGAAAATTTCGTTAGAGACATTTACATGAATATATTAATTTTTAATTCAACAATTCATCGACATATTTAGACCATTAAAGACTATACTGTCATAATTGACTTCACATATTTTTTTGTTTCATGAAAAATGTCATGTCCCACTTTTATGTAATTTATTTAATGAATAAAATACAAATATAAAATTAATATTGTTAATTTTAAAATTTGCTATTTCATAACTTAATTTTTTAAATATATCAAAGTTCTATAATAGTGTTAAGGAACAAACGTGCAACGCACGTTCCCATAGACTAGTAAGCTAAATAGGACGTACACACATCTTGTTAGGAGTCTTTTCTTTGCTATTAGTAAACTGTAAGGATTCTTTTTCTTGCTGTATATATACAAGACCTTGTCAATGGAAAAGATCATCAAATATACAAGAAAAGTTCCGCATATATCTTTTGTTTTCTTACAGTGAGTTATTTTAAAGTAACTGAAGTCTTAATCTATAGCAACTGCTCTGTAACCATTTATGAAAAAGTTGAGAAATGTTTTTCCCCTATAAAGAATACACCCTTAATTCTTGCTTAACTCAACAAATACCATTTTGCAATGAGAAAATAAGTTTTTCTTTGGCCTTGTATTGTTTTATTTTTCTTCTCTGTTTGACCAGACTGCTATGTTTTGTTGTCCTGACTTGAGGGATAGAAATATAAAGATATTGTTTATGAAAAATAGGAAGGTTTTTAAGACATCTCTAGAGATTTAAGTGTCATTCAACCTGTAAATGATCATTATGTTTATAGCATAGTATGAAAATAACATCTAAAACATATTTTGTTAGATTATTTGCACTAATTGTTTATTTTTTTTCACATTCACTCATTATCACATTCAAAAAAAAACAAAATAGTGCAGCTAAACACCTTTATTTCTGGTTTCTTTCAAGCATTCAAAAATCAAAACATAATCACAAATAGATCATAGAGTAAAATAGGTCCAAAACCACTCAAAGACTTCAACTAGTACAATACGACAACTTTATTGAAGAAACCATGTAAACAAAAAGCATCATATTAATTTGCAGCTCAGAAAAGAACACCATGACTTCTATGTTTCCAGAAATGCGTTCTTGATTTTGTTAAGCCTCTTCACTACTTCTTTCATGGTCACTCTTGATTCTGGCGTTTCCTTTGTGCAGTCTAAACCCAATTCTATCATGGACGCTATGCACATTTCACTTCTACTAGTGATTTCTTCTTCCTCAGAAAAAAGATTGACATCCACAACGTCCATCATACTCCCTGAAAATGATTGTATGATCCATTTCCTCAAGTCAAGATTTTCATTGCATATCTCTTCATCCGTTGGCCTTCTTTTCGTCAAAACCTCCGTCAACATGATGCCATAGCTATAAACATCACCACTAGTGGACACTATTCCCTCCGAGCCATATTCTTAAAAACGGATTGAAGAAAAGTTACTCAATTGAAATACAACAATAATTCTGCATAAATGAAGACTTGCTTTTTTTACTTCTAGAATGCTTAACTATGATAAGAGAAAATCAAAGAGAGAAGATTTATTATACCTGGTGCAATGTATCCTAGACTGCCCAATGTCTCGGTATAAGCCACGGACTTGCTTATGGCTAAAATTTTAGAGATTCCAAAATCACCAACACGAGCCACCATATCTTCATCCAAAAGTATGTTTGCTGGCTTTAAGTCGCAATGAACTATTAGAGTGACATGACCATGATGTAGATATTCAACTGCCATAGCTGCATCAAGCATTACAGAAACTCTTTGATGAAGGTTCAAGTGGCGATCTTCTTTGTACAGCCAATTCTCAAGACTCCCATTGGGCATAAATTGCAGAACAAAGGCTCTTATATAGTCACTAGAACATGTAGTAATCACTGGAACAAGATTTCTGTGTCTAACATTTCTTATGACTTCGCATTCGGAATCAAACCTCTTGCATACTTGCTCATTTTCCAAATCCAGAACCTTAATGGCCACTGCAGTTCCACCAAACAATGTGCCTTTGTACACAGAGCCAGAGCTTCCCTCACCAATTAAATTGGATTCATCAAAATTATTTGTTGCTCGTCGAATCTCGTGATAAGAAACTAATTGATGAGTCCCGATCTCCAGTACCTTCTCTACCTCTTTGGACTTCCCTTTCTTCTGTCGTTTCATTATCCAAATTGAAACGAACAAGAATATCAGAAAGGATGCAATAACCACTGGAGTAACAAATTTTAGCAGAACCTCCTTAAGCTTTGATTGTTTTCCAGGATTAGTGATAGCACAAGCAGGAATCTCCAATATGTACATTCCGCAAAGACCTTTGTTCCCGTGAAATGATTGCAAAGTGGAATTTGCAAACACGCCACCACTCGGTATTTCACCTTCTAAATCATTAAATGAAACATTGATGCTTTTAAGGTATGAGAGTTTTTCCAAAGACTTAGGAATAGTACCTGACAACGCATTTGAAGACAAATCCAAGTATTCTAAGCTTATCAAGTTGGCAAAGGATAATGGAATTTTGCCAAAAAATGAATTGTTCGACAGGTCGAGATTCTGCAGGTTTTGGAGTTCCCTGAATGTGCTTGGTATCATTCCTGAAAAGAGGTTACTGGAAAGATGTAGTTCTACAATGGCTTTCAGTCCTCCAATATCTGATGGAACTTCTCCGTCTACTGAATTCAGTGACACACTTAGATAGAGAAGACTACTCATCTTCCAAAGGCTCAATGGAAATTTTGATGAAAATTTATTAGAACACAAATAAAGCTTTTGTAGCATGCTAAGATTTCCTAAGCATTCTGGAATTAATCCAGAGAGCTCATTACCATTCAGAAATAGTTTAACCAAATTAGATAAATGGCATACCGCCTCGGGAATATGTCCCTGCAATTTATTGTTAGATAGATCGAGTCCTTGGAGTTGTTTAAGCTTACCAATCTCAGAAGGAATACTCCCTGTCAAGTTGTTTTCTCCAAGGCTTAGGGCTGTAAGACCGCTCATGTTGCCTATACTTGTGGGGATGAGGCCATTGATGTGTGCATATCCTATATAAATGTTTTCAATAGTAGATGAAAGATTCCCAATTGAATTGGGCAGAATGCCATTCAACGGATTTTTACCCACTTGTAGATATTGCAACATCTTACAGTCCGCCAACGAATTGAAGAATAACAACTCACGTTCTCTTGGTTCATTGGTATGTAGGAGCAGTGTTTGCAGCTCACGAAGATTCCCCAAATTATTAGGAATAGTTCCTGTCAGAAAGTTATTATTTAGCTCCAGTTTCTGAAGCTTGGAAGCATTTGTTATGAACCACCTTCCAGCTGATTGACTCCCAACTGAAGTACTTTAAGGTTCGGAAGATGAAGACCTGTAGTGGTTGGAATTCTCCCGGAGAGGTTGTTGAAATTGAAAAGAATCAATTCCAAAGAAGATATGTTGAAAATAGCCTCTGGAATTTGACCAATAAGATTAGAATTATTGTCAAAGGTTAATTGCCTCAAATTTGATAGCTTCCCTAATTCCGGAGGAATTCCCCCCACTATCCGATTGTTTCGACAGTAAAGATCATGCAGAGTGGAAATATTTCCCAATGAAGTGGGAATAGTCCCTTTTATTGGATTATCACCCATATAAAATTTCTCGAGTTTGGATAAACAACCAATATTTCTGGGTATATCTCCAGCTATATTGTTGAAAGATATGGACAAAACTTTGAGCTCTGTGAGTTGGCATATGTTGGAAGGAATGCAACCAGATATTTGGTTGTAAGATATACTTAAAATTTTCAGATTTGAAACAATATTTCCTTCGTTTAGCAAGAGAGGACCAGAAAGGATATTATTTCTCAGAGTTAGGACAAGAAGTGACGAGATATTAAAAAGTGATGTAGGAATGGAACCAGTTAATTGATTATCGATCAAGGGCAGAAATGCAAGCTGGCTCAGATTACCGACCTCCTTTGGAATGTTGCCGCTGACTCTATTCCCAGACAAACTGAAGTTCATCATTTTTGTGGCATTTCCAACAGAAGGAGGGACTATACCGGTTAGGTTATTGTTCCCGAGATTTAAGACTCTGAGTTTGGGTACATACCATGGCCCTCTCCACATTTCACCACTGAGTTCATTGAAAGCCAATGAAATTATTTGAACTCTCCGGTTTTGAAATAGACTTGTTGGTATACTTCCGTTAAACTGATTGTTTTGAATATCAATCACTCGCAAGCGAGGCAAGTGGCCAAGTCCATAAGGGATGCCACCACAGAAGTTATTGTTCCCAAGATTGATCTCACTGAGGAAGGACAAATTGGCCAAAGACGGGGAAATTGTGCCTTGAAGTTGCAAATTAGGAAGAGTCAAGGCCACAACCCTTTGCCTTTTTGGACTACAAGTGACACCATACCAAGAGCAAAAAGAAGTATTTTTGGTCCAATTAGTGGCCAAAAAATGATTAGGACTTGTAATAAGATTTTGGAAAGCTAATAGAGCTTGTTGGTCACTCTCATTTGAGGAAGCAAATGATACAGAAAATTGAATTAGAAAGAGAAGAATCAATAAGAAAATGTGCTTCTCCATATGATATAGAATATTTCAAGGCAATTAATTTGTGTTTGTGGTATTTCCAATGATCAAAGTTACTCCTGTAACACCCCAGAGAATTTTCGAACTAAGACTCGAGCCATCCTTCATGTGGAGTGGGATTTTACCGAGGAATAAAAAATTTCTTGAGTGTTAAGTTAAGGTCCCTAGGTGTAGCACATTGAGTTCCAAGAAGAGTTGAATTGGAAATAGTCATTTTGGAAAGAATCTGGAAAATTTGGCTATGGAAAAAAGGTGAGTTTTTGGTCAACTTTGAGCAGTCGTATCTCCTAGCTCAAAATGATTTAGGCGAATTTCCAGTTATTTCTGGAAAGCCCTTGGAATGATCTTTCCAACGCCGCCGAGTTTGCTTGATTCCGAGTTCGTATGAGTGACTTATGCCCTTTGGAAGTTGGGTTGTTGGCACAGTCGCACAGTCGCACAGTGCAGTTTGTTTAGTCCGAAAATTTTAAGGGTATTTTGGTCTTTTCCCTAATCTTTTCTTTGGGTTATATTGAGGTGTTATACTGATGTTTGGATCATTTTTGTCCCTTTTTAAAGAGTGAGAGTAAGAGTGAGAGTTAGGGCTTGGAAGATAAGAGAGAAAGAAGAGGAAAAGAAGAGGAGAAAGAGAAGAAGAAGCTAAGGATCGTCGTGGATTTTCGTCGGGGGTGATCCCTAATCAGGTATGTGAGCTTTTAGTGTTGGGTGATCCTTTCCCCCACACACCTAACCCCTTTTATTCATTAAGAAAGGATTGGTTTTGTTGTTAAAGTTGTGAGTTGTTGTGGTTGAAGTTGTTAAAGTTGTTAGTTGTTGTTGTTGAAATTATAGCTGGTATTGTTGTTGAGATTCTTGATGATTTGGGACTTGTTTCCGGTTGGGGTTTTGAGTTGAATTCTATTGAATGTTGAGGGATTTTATGTTTCTAAGTGATTGGGGCTAGAACCTTTGAAGTTAAGAGGGTTTACAGTTGGAAAAATGAAGGAGAAAAGTCGGGCTTCTTACATGAAACAAGTCCGTGTCGCGGACTTGTTCCCTCTGTGAACAAAATCTTCTCCGCGTCGCGGACAGGACGCGGACTCCACTGTTTTCAGAATTTATTCTCAAAATTTTTCTTAAGTTTGGTTGTTCCAAATCATTCCTAAACATCATGAGGTCCTTCCAAACACCAATCAAGTCCTTGAACCCATAATCCAATTCAAGGTGAGTTAGGATCAAAGTCAAGTGAAGTTAGTTTCCAAATCAAGTGAAAGTTAGTTTCCAAGTCAAGTGAAGTTAGTTTCAAAGTCAAGTGAAGTTAGTTTCAAAGTCAAGTGAAGTTAGTTTCCAAGTCAAGTGAAGTTAGTTTCAAAGTCAAGTGAAGTTAGTTTCCAAATCAAGTGAAGTTAGTTTCCAAGTCAAGTGAAGTTAGTTTCCAAATCAAGTGAAGTTAGTTTCCAAGTCAAGTGAAGTTAGTTTCAAAGTCAAATGAAGTTAGTTTCCAAATCAAGTGAAGTTAGTTTCCAAGTCAAGTGAAGTTAGTTTCAAAGTCAAGTGAAGTTAGTTTCCAAGTCAAGTGAAGTCAAGCTTAGAAGTAAGTAAGTCAAAACAAGTCTTTAAGGTTTTCCAAGAGTCTTCATTGATCGTTTTAACTTCATTTTAAGGCTCAAGTTAAGTAAAGAATGAAGAGTTCCAAGTTAAGAGTTTCAAGTTGAGTAAAGAGTTTCAAGTTGAGTCAAAGTATCGAGTTTCAAGTAAAGTAAAGAGTAAAGAGTTGAGTTCATTTCTCAAAGGTATTAGGGAACTATGTATTCCCAAAGAAGTTTTAAAGAAATGTTTTTACATTTAAACAAGGTTGGAAACTGAGATTTCCAAAAGAGCCTTCGGGCTAGTTTTTGAGTAATTATCTCATATCAGCAGGAATAAATATGTTTTAAAAACATAAGAGCCAGTACATTTTTGGGAGTAGTATTGAGCACCGAATTGGGGGAGCGTTCAAAGAACCCACAGCCCCCATAGAACCATGTTAGCCACCATGGGTAGAAAAGGATCATACTTTTTAGATGAATCCTTTTCAGATTAGACTAGTGGATCCATTAGGCAGTTCAGGTCTTATACCTTTGGCCGGGTATAAGATGCTCTGGCAGCGTGAGGTCGATCGCTGTATCATCACTATAGCTCTTATGTGATGGTTGTCGGTTAGAGAAACTCCCACAGCAGTTATTGTATTTTCATACACAGAAATTATTGTATTTTATATACATCAGTTCAATTGTATTTCTATATACATCTCAGGCTTATTGTATCCTTGTATACACTCAGAGTTTATAGCATGTTTTAAACAGTCTTTCTTTATATCGCACTTGTTTTAAATTGCCTTATATTGAAAGAAGTCAGTCAGGTTGAGTTCAGTTATTCAAGAGTCGAGTATCCTTGAGTTAAGTATCTTTGAGTTAAGTATATATCTTGAGTTAAGTATATATCCTTGAGTTGAGTATCTATCTTGAGTTGAGTATCTATCTTTGAGTTGAGTATCTATCTTTGAGTTGAGTATCTGTCTCTGAGTCCAGTATCTATCTTCTGAGTTGAGTAAGTTTGAGTAGTTTTGGGTATTCCTTGAGTTGAGAAAGTTTGAAAAGAGGTAAGTTATTCAATTTATTCCAGTTTTTCTTCTAGCCTATGTTGTTTAGCTTTCTAGCTTACATACTCGTACATTCCACGTACTGAGCCATTTGGCCTGCATCTTTTTATGATGCAGACACAGGTATTCAGGATCATCAACAGGAGATTCGTTGATACATCCGGGAGTTCCAGTTAGCTATGACAAGCCTCTTTGCTTCCGGAGGATTTCATTTACCTTTCAGTTGTATCAGTTGTTAGGAGGTCGTGGGTCTTGTCCCGGCTTTCATCTTTATCAGTTAGAGGCTTCATAGATAGACAATAGAGTTTCAGAAGTCTCTTCATTTATTTTGTTAAATGTTTTGAAGACTAAAGTTTCCTTTTATGGCGAGTTGTATATATATTCTATTATACAGAGTTTTCTTTTGAGTTAAAGATTTATAAAGTTGAGTTTATAAACTCTTATTCAGTTTTAAGCTTTTGTATGCTTAAGTTAGTATTCCTCTTGGAGTCAGCCAGGATGAGGGTTCGCTTGGGGACCAGCAATGGTCTTCGAGTGCCGGCCACGTCCAGGGTGTAGGCTCGGGGCGTGACAACTCCACTATATATATAGCACCAAAACAAATAAAATGCTGAAAAGTATGGACTAATTTCCAAAATGTGAAAACAGATTAATGTAAAGACAGATTAAAAGGAGGAAAATAAATAGCAAAATAAAAAAAAATACACTAATTGGGTTGTGTTTCACAGAACGAAATAAAAGTCATAATATAGAAAGAATAATTGTTAAGAGCAAAGTCAATGGGAGTCAATCTTTCAAATCAACCTTACAAGGCTGTGTTACACAACATACGTTCACTAATTAGCACAAAATGGAAGAAATTTTAATGTTTTCTTTTGAAGAAAATCAAACGTGACACACGCTACTACACACATTGTCATGTGTGATTTCACTTTTTTTTTTTTAAATCTATTTTATTTTTATTTTTATTTTTTTCTTTTAATTCCAAAATATAATACATTCAAAATGCGAAAACAGATTAATATGGATGAGGAAAATAAGTAGCAAAAAGATTAATGTGAAAACAGATTATTAAGTATGAGGAAAATAAGAAAAGGAATTTATCCAGTTGACAATACTACATTACTACTTGGGTTGTGTTTCACAAAATGGAATAGAAGTGGGTTTTCTTTGAAGGATCTTGGTTACTTAGACTACTTTTTGGGTGTCGAAGTTAAAAAAAGTGTCAGATGGTCATGGTCTTATTCTCTCTCAATCCAAATACATTCATGATATTTTGTCTGAATTGGATATGCAAGATTGTAAAGGAGTCTTGACTCCAATGTGCTCCGGTAAACTACCTCGGGCAGCTGATGGTTCTCCGCCTGCTAGCTCATGCTACACTCTACAGGCGCACCGTTGGTAAGTTACAGGATTTATCATTCACACGGCCTGCTGTCAACAAACTATCACAGTTTATGCATGAACCTACCATGAACACTGGAAGGCGGTTAAGAGGATACTACTACGGTATCTTAAAGCCACAACAACTTCAGGTCTTCGAATTCTTTGCAACTCAGACAACAATTTTTACAGGTACACTGATGCGATTGGGCCAGAGACCTGAATGATAGAATTGTAGAGAATAGCAGAAGAAAAGTATAATTGGGAAACCTTCTGCGAGCCCAAGATCGTTAACTAAGATTGGAATATTCAACTAAAGAAGAGGAAGCTAGAAAGGAGAACTTGTTTATGGAAGAAGACTCTTTTATTTGGGTTGTTATTAGATTGTTTTACACATGCTTAATGCCACCCCTATTTATTCTTTTATAGGGATGCTTCTAGAAATTATTCTAGATACTTCTACAAGAAAAATCTAGATATTCTTATCTTCTAACTATGTAACAAGAACCTAGATATTTCTATACTTTACTATAAATATCTACTTATCTAGAACATCTAGATATTTCCTAAGTATAAATATCAAAGATATTTACTCTACAAAATTCTAGAAAGTTTTACTAAATATCTAAGATATTTTTTGTACCTCCAAAAAATCAACTTTAATTTTTCACACTCCCCCTTAAAGTGATTTTTTGGAAACTACCCCACACTTGTCGTGGAAGAGCTCAAACGAAGCTTTGAGCCATGTCTTGGTGAAAATCTTAGCACTTTCTGTGACATCTTGCAAGTTGGTGACTAGGAAGAAGCTTAAAACTTGGAAATAGTCTTTTTGGAAAGAATTAAAAATCTGGAAAAAATTTGGTTATGGAAAATAATGAATTTTTGGCCAACTTTGAACAGTTATAACTCCTAGCTCAGGATGATCTAGGTGTAGTTCCAGTTATGGTTGCAAAGTTCGTGGCTTGGTCTTTCCAACGCCATCGAGTTTGCT